CCCTTGCCAACACTTGTTTGATGATTTGTTGATGGTGGCCATTCTGACAGGTAGGAGATGATACCTCATTGTTGTTTTAATTTGCATCTCTCTGATGATTAGTGATGTTGAGCATTTCTTCATATGTCTCTTGGCCATTTGTATGTCCTGTTTGGAGAGAGAGATGTCTATTTAAGTCCTCTGCCCATTTTATAATTGGGTTCTTTGTCTTGCTTTTGTTGAGTTGTATGAGCACTCAATATATTTTGGAAATTAACCCCTTACCTGATGTATCATTGGCAATGATGGTCTCCCACACAGTAGGTTGCCTTTCCATTTTGATGGTTGTTTCTTTTGCTGTGCAGAAGCTTTTTAGTTTGATGTAGTCCCATGTGTTCATTTTTTCCTTTGTTTCTGTTGCCTTAGGTGATGCATCATTGAAAATTCTGCTGCGTATGATGTCTGAAATTTTGTTGCCTACATTTTCTTCCAAGATTTTTATGGATTCACGGGTCACATTTAAGTCTTTTATCTATTTTGAGTTTATTTTTGTGTATGGTGTAAGTTGATGTTTTAGTTTAATTTTTTTGCCTGTAGCTGTCCAATTTTCCCAACACCATTTATTAAAGAGGTTGTCTTTACTCCACTGTATGCTCTTGCCACGTTTGTCAAATATTAATTGAGCATAATGTCTTGGGTCCATTTCTGGGTTCTCTATTCTGTTCCACTGGTCTATGTGCTTGTTCTTGTGCCAGTACTAGGCTATTTTGATTACAGTAGCTTTGTAGTATAATCTGATATCCAGTACTGTGATCCCACCTACTTTGTCCTTCTTTTTCAAGATCGCTGTGGCTATTCGAGGTCTTTTTTTGGTTCCATATGAAATGTTGAAGTATTTGTTCTCATTCTGTGAAGTAGGTCGTTGGTATTTTGATGGGGATTGCATTGAATCTATAGATTGCTTTGGGTAATATGAACATTTTAATGATGTTAATGCTTCCAATCCATGAACAAGGTATCTGCTTTCATTTTTTTTATATCTTCCTCTATTTCTTTTTTCAATGTCTGTAGTTTTCTGCAAATGGGTTCTTTACTTCTTTGGTAAGTTTATTCCTAAGTATCTTAATTTTTTTGCCATGATGATTAATGGGATTGTTTTTTCAGTTTCTCTTTCTGTGAGTTCATCATTGGTATATAAGAATGCCGTCGATTTCTGAACGTTAATTTTGTGTCCTGGTACTTTGCCAAATGCATTTATTAAGTCTAGTAGATTTTTGATGGAGTCTTTAGGGTTGTCTATGTATAAAATCATGTCATCTGCAAATAATAACAGTTTCACTTCCTCCTTTCCGATTAGGATCCCCATTATTTTTTCTTTGTGTCTGATTGCTGTGGCTAAGACTTCCAGTATTATTTAAATAAGAGTGGTGAATGTGGGCATCCCTGTCTTGTTCCTGTTTTTAAGGGGAAATACTTTTAGTTTCTGCCCATTGAGTATGATGTTGGCTGTACGTCTTTCAAATATGGGCTTTATTATGTTGAGATATGATCTTTCTATTCCCACATTGTGGTGTATCACATTTATTGATTTACAAATATTTTACCATACTTGCATCCCTGGGATGAATCCCACTTGGTCATGGTGAATAACTTTTTGATGTATTGCTGGATTAGATTTGCTAGTATTTTGTTAAGGATTTTTGCATCTATGTTCATCAGAGATATTGGCCTGTAGTTTTCTTTCTTTGTAGTGTCATTTTCTGGTTTTGGAATTAGAATTATGCTGGCCTCATAAAACGAGTTTGGAAGTCTTCCTTCTATTTGATTTTTTAAAAATAGTTTGAGGATAATGGGTGTTAGTTCTTCTTTGAATGTTTGGTAAAACTTCCCCGTGAGTCCTTCCGGGCATGGGCTGTTGTTTGCTGGAGAGTCTTGATTACCTTGTCAATTTCCTTAATTGTTATTGGTCTGTTCAAGTTTTCTCTCTCTTCCCAGTCCAGTTTTGGGAGACTCTGTGTTTCTAGAATTTTGTTCATTTTGCTTAGATTGTTGAATTTGTTGCCATATAATTGTTCATAGTAGTTGTTAACGATCTTTTGTATTTCTGTGGTGTCAGTTCTTACTTCTCCTCTTTCATTTCTGATTTTGTGTATTTGGGTTCTCTCTCTTTGTTTCTTGGTGTGTCTACCTAAGGGTCCATAAATCTTGTTTATCTTTCTGAAAAACCAGCTTTTTGTTTCATTGATCCTTTGATTTTTTTTTTGGTCACCATGTCATTTATTTCTGCTCTAATCTTTACTATTTCCTTTTCTCTACTTGCTCTGGGGTTTGCTTTCTGTTTGCTTTCTAGTTCTTTAAGTTGTGAGGTTAGATAGTCTATTAGAAATTGTTCTTGTTTCTTGATGCAGGCCTGTAGTGCTATGATCTTCCTTCTCAGAACTGCTTTCACTGCATCCAGTAGATTTTGTGTGTTAATTTTCATTGGTTTCCAGGAAGTTTTTAATTTTTTCCTTGATCTCCTCGGTAACCCATTAATTGTTCAATAACATGCTATTTAGCCTCATGTGTTCAAATGTTTTGCATATTCTTGCTGCAATTGATTTCTAGTGCCATGCCATTGTGATCTGAGAAGATGCTTGATATGATCTCAATCTTCTTGAACTTGTAGAGATTTAGTTTGTGTTCTAACACGTGGTCTATCTTTGAGAAAGTCCCATGTGCACTTGAGAAGAATGTGAATTGTGTAGTTTTGTTGTGTAATTCTCTGTAGATATCTATTACATTCAGTTGGTCTAGAGCTTCATTTAAAGTCTCTGTTTTTTTGCCAATATTTTGTCTAGAGGATCTATCCCATTATGTCAGCAGGGTGTTGAAGTCCCCTGCTATGATTGTATTGCTGTCAATTTCTCCTTTGAAGTTCTTCAGAATATTTTCAATACATGTTGATGCTCCTATATTGGGTGCATATATGTTTATCAAGGTTATATCTTCCTGTTGGATTGATATTCTTTCAATATTATGTAGTGGCCTTGTTTGTCACTAGTTATAGCCTTTATTTCAAAATCTATTTTATCAGGTATGACTATTGGTACTCCAGCTTTTTTTTTCCTTTATGTTTGCTTGGAAGATTTTTTTTTTCTATTCCTTCACTTGCAACCTATGTGAGTCGTTTTTTGTGAGGTGGGTCTCTTGTAAATAACATATAGATGAGTCATGCTTTCTTATCCAATCATCTACTCTGTGTCCTTTTATGGGAGCATTCAATTCATTTACATTTAAGGTCATTATTGATATGTACTTATTTATTGCCATTTATGTTTAGTGTGCTTATATTTTTCTTCCTATTTCTTCTACTAATTACAGCAGTTCTTTTAACATTTCTTGCAGTGCTGGTTTGGTGGTAATGTATTCCCTTAGCCTTTGTTTTGTCTGGAAAGCTCTTTATTTGACCTTCTATTTTGAATGATAGCTTGGCTGGGTAGAGTTGTCTTGGATTCAGATCCTTGTTTTTCGTGACCTTGATTCCTTCGTGCCATTCCCTTCTGACCTGTAGTGTTTCTGTTGAGAAGTCAGCTGAGAACCTTATGGGGGTTCCTTTGTAGGTAACCTGTTGCTTAACTCTTACTGCCGTCAGGATTCTCTCTTTGTCTCTAATTTTTGGCATTTTAATTACTATGTGTCTTGGTGTGGTCCTGTTTGGGTTCTTCTTACTTGGGGCTCTCTGTGCTTCTTGAACTTAAATGCCCTATTTCTTCAAATATATTCTCTAACCCTTGCTCATTATCTCCTTTTTGGGGACTTCTATGATGAGAATATTATTACATTTCCTCTTGTCCCACAGTTCTCTTAAGCTGTCTTCCTGTGTTTTAATTGTTTTTTTTTTTTTGGTTTTCTGATTGGTTGATTTTTTTTCTACCCTGTCTTCTAATTCACTGATCCGGTCCTCAGCTTCCTGTACTCTGCTGTTTAGACCTTCCAATGTGTTCTTTATTTCTGATATGTCATTCTTCATTTCTTCTTGATGGTTTTTATTTTCTAATTGGTCGACTTTCAACATTTCTATGTCTTTACTCATGGTGTTGATGTCCTTACTCATGGTGTTGAGTTTCCTCAAGATTATGGCTCTGAATTCTAGCTCTGTTAACTTGCGTAACTGTTCCTCATTTATCTCATTTTCAGTAGAGGTCTCTTGTTCTTTCATTTGGCATTTGTTTCTTTGTTTTACTATGTTGGCTATCACAGTGGGCTTTGGAGCCTGCCAAATTTTCCTTGTGGGTGTTGGTGTTCTGTTGTTTGTGGCTCACTCTCCTGGGATTGGATGGGCGAGGGAGGACCCACGTGAACCAGCACTGTCAAGTCATACTTACCTGGTTAGAGTTGCTAGCTCAGGAATGGTTCAGGTATCCTTTAGCTTTTTACCGGAGGCTATCATTAGCGGTTACTTGAAGAGACTTGGGTTCTCAGTTGAATGAAAAACTCCCTCAGGTGCTCAGCGTAAGGGGATTTCCTGAGGGTGGGGCAGATGCTGGTTGTTAATGAGTCTCAATTTGCATTTCCATGGTCCACCTGGGTGGGGTTGAATCTCCGGGGGAGTGGCCGCCACCTCTCCTCAGAGCCCTGTGAAGGAGTAAGTTGACCAGCCTCCTACGTGGCTGCAACTCAGCAAAAGATCTGAACGCCCTCCAAATCCCGGGTGTCCCCACACAGTTCCAGTCCAGTCTGTCCTCCCTCTGCCGAAGCCCAAGGTGAGTGGCTGTGGCTATTTTAGTGTTTGTCAAGGCTCTGAGCTGTGGAGCCGCCTGGGACTGTAACCCCGAGGGTGCTGCTCACAGCTCAGACTGCTGCTTTCTGTGGGCTCCCAGTCCCCCTCTTGTGCCTCCACAATCCTATCAGGATGGAGTCAGTATCCCAGGTTATATGGTTCTCGCAAGCTGCATTTCTGTTGCTTTTTCCTGTCGATTTGTCTGTGTTTTAGTTGTAATTCCACTTTGGTTCTGGGAGACAGTCTGTGCAGCCTCCGTTCACTCCGCCGCCATGTCGGAATCTGTCCTTTTTCCCTCATTGACACCCTCCTCCCGGTCCAACCTGCCCCCAGCAGTGAATGATTCATTTTTTAAAAGGCCCAATATCTATCAAGTTTTCAGATTTTATGTCTTGTGCTTTTTGGATCATGTCTGAGAATCTTTCTCTACCCCAGGTCATGGAGACATGCATCTATCTTATTTTCAAAAGCCTATATGGTTTCAGGAAATTGGTTTAGGCCTGTCACAGTCTATTTTAATATGGCATTTAGTACAGCACAAGGCAAGAAACGCCTCCTACTGTAATGTACAGGGAGACACGCCCTCCCCATGTTGCTCTCTGAGGTCCCTCGAGCTGACCTCTCCTTGCACAGAGCTCTCCCCAGGGCTCCCTGACCTCTGAGTTCCTCAGGCTGTAGATCAGTAGGTTCAGCATAGGGTTGAAAAGACTGTAAAACAGGGACAGGACCTTCTGCTGCTCCTCAGGGTGGCGGGATTTGGGCGCCATGTACATGACGATGGCGCTGCCAAAGAAGAGCCCGACCACACAGAGGTGGGAGGAGCAGGTGGAGAAGGCCTTCCTGTGGCCCTCCCCAGACTGGATCCTCAGGATGGCAAAGAGGATGCATGTGTAGGACACAAGCACCACGCTGAGGGGCACCACTAAGACAAACACACAGGCAACAAAGATGACAACCTGGTTGAGCCTGGTGTCCACGCAGGCCAGCCCCAGGACAGACAGGATCTCACAGAAGAAGTGGTTGATTTCACAAGGCCCACAGAAGGGCAGTCTCAGGATGAGCACTAAATGGACCAGAGCCAAGAGGAAGCTGAATACCCAGGAAGAGGCGGCCAGGGCCACGCACACCCTCCAGTTCATGATGACAGAGTAATGGAGGGGCTGGCAGATGGCCACGAACCGATCATAGGACATCACCACCAAGATCAGGCACTCCGCGTGAGCAAAAGCCAAATACAAATAAGTCTGCATAATGCAAGGGACAAAGGAGATGGTCCTCTTCTGGCTCACTAAGTTTACCAGCATCTTGGGGACATTGTTGGAAGCATAGGACATGTCTATGATGGCCAGGTGTGCGAGGAAGAAGTACATGGGGGTGTGAAGTCTATGATCTAAGCAGACAAGGCCCAGGATGACTCCATTTCACACCAGGGTGAGGGTATAGAACAGAGAGAAAAGTCCAAAGAGGAAAATCTCCAGTCCTGGCTCAACTTGGAATCCCAGCAGGGTGACTTCCGTGCACAGACTAAGGGAAAGTCCGTCGATCGTTTCTCTGTTCTTCCCTGGCAGGAAAACTAGCAGGGACTGAGAAGAGCCAGATCCTTACATGAGGACGAAAGCGGTGTGGTTAACAGCGTTGGTCAGACCGTCATTCCGATCTCGATTCTGTAAGGCGAACTCCAAGATCGGGAAGTCCTGCGTCTAAGGCTCCCTGTGCTCATCTGTACAACAGTGACCACGGCTGTCTACAGGGCTGGTGTGAGGAACAGAGACCATGAAATGTACAGATTGGAGTCAAGGGCTGATGTGAAGACTCAATACCACTAGACTGCTAGATGGTGCATGTTACATGTTAGCTGTTATTAACAGTATTAAAAAGACCACAAAATGTTTGGTCTGGTCCTCTTCTTTTACCATGGCTTGGCCCTCGAGCTTCCCACTCAGAAAGAAACAGAACAGGGGTCCCCAGGCTTGTCAGGCAGACCCTGCCTCTGAGCTGCAAGCCCCTTCCCCTCCCCCCCAGCTTCCCGCTCCCACTGCATCTGGCCTACAGGTTGAGACAGGGGTCGTCTTACTTTGAGTCTGAGGTCCTGTCTGGAGAGTAACCAACAGACCACTTCATCTATCATCATTCATCTCTTTCTTTTCATTTCTTTCCTATTTTGGCTACATTTCTGCTCCCTGGAAAAGAATTTCCAGAATTTGACCATGAATCTTTCCCGGTTCCCACTGGTTCCCTAAGTAACCTAGTCAATTATAGCGTTTGTTACCATGAACTGGCCTATTAAGTATGTATCTTCTCTTCCTTGTACCTTTGGCTCCCCAGTTCACCTTCTGCCTTATAATTCAGCAGAGCCAAGTTTAGTTGATAGCATGGACACACACTAACCGTGGGAATTTGGATGGTTTTATATAAAAAGCAAAGTGTAGATGATCTCAGACAGCTCTTCCATTTCTGACCTTTATTGAGGATCTGATATGTTACCTGCTCCTTTAAAGACTGTATTTTTAATTTGCTCCACCTTCCTAAGAGGTCAACCCTATAATATTCAGAGACATTGGCTATCTGGCCCAGGGCCATGAACTTGAGCCCAAGTCTGGCGATAAGTGCCATGATTCTCCACTGATCATCTTCCAAAGGCAAGATAATTCAGGACAAAGAATGTGGGTTGCTGCAAAAGCTACTCTTCTGTATTTCTCTCTTCTCCATCGGGAGTAGTTTTCTGCTCAAATCTTGGAGTGTTCTGGGAGGCTTCAGGAGGGGAGCGCATCCATGAGAGAGAAATAAAATCTTCTGGCAGAAGCCAGTTAGTTCTAGAATCCAGACCCCTGAGGGGGAAGTTCCCGCTGCTAAGATAGCTTTCTGAATGCTGTCTTGATTGGTTGACCACTAGTTGTATCTTCTATGAAATGCCCATTTCACACCCGCCAAGAGGTCAACCTTGAAGAAGCCAGGTACCAGCTGGAAATGAGCTGAGACACACAGGGGATTCCCCACTTTCTGCCTGATAGTGCTCACCTTTCTTTCAAACATGAAATCAAAAGAACAGAGAGAAAAGGAAAGAGGAAAAGAGAAAAGAGGAGAAAAGGGAGAGAAAAGGAGTTGAAAGTAGATAGGACCAGTGGAACCCTGTGAGAATGGATCTGGATCAATACTCCATCAATTACCTGGTTCGCACCTGTTTCCCTGATAAGGGGATATTGATGATGCTTTAGATCTCTGAGTACGAACTCCAGCTCACATGCTGTATCCCACAGCTCTTAAATACATGAATATTCTGCCCGGCCAGTGTGGCTCAGTGGTTGAGCGTTGACCCATGCACCAAGAGGTCTCCAGTTCAATTCCCAGTCAGGGCACATGCCCAGGTTGTGGGCCTGATCCCCAGTGAGGGGCATGCAGGAGGCAGCCAATCGATGTCTCTCATTGATGTTTCTTTCTCTCTCCCTCTCTCCCTTCCTCTCTAAAATCAATAAAGAAAAATTATTTAATATATATATAAATGAATATATATATATAATATATATATATAATTTTCCCCCCTTTCTCCAGTGCTGGTTACCCAAATAAATGCTTGTAGGCTTTTGGGGAAAGTCTGGAGAAATCACTATGGGTGTATCTTCATGGTGTCACAGAGTCCTATTTCTGGTGCCTCGACTCTCTACCTTTGGTGATACCTGGTTTGAGAACTGACTCAAACCTGGAGACTGGGCAAAGGGACCAGGACTTCATTGGGGTAGCTGATCTGTGCCCTCTCTTCACTCGTTCTTCATTTCCTTTGAGTACGTGTGCTAAGACGTACGGTTGGCTGCCCACACGTCTTGCCCCATGGCCATCTCTAAAGCCCCAGGCAGTTGCGGTCCCTCCAGACGGCCATTTTGACCTCCCTGCCTCACAGGGCAAGTGTGTGAACCTTGCATCTGACAGTGAAGGGCGGCCCTGTGGCCTCTGCTGTTCTGGTTACCTGGCCACCAGGAAACCCGGTTGTGTCATGGCCTCTCCTAATAAAAGCCTCACTGATGCTCTCCTCACTTGTACGTTTGTATCACCCTTCTAACTACAGTGATGTCCTGCAGGCCTCGTCCCCTGGGAACACGAGCCGCTGGTGGGTTTTTCAGAATAATAGCCCCATGACAACATTTCTGCTTTCTAAGCCTTTGGAGTACTTCCTTCAGAGCCTTCCAAGGCAATTTTGGCATTTCTACCAAATTTAATGAAGGCTGCCACTTTTTCCAAACTTCCATGAATAAGCATAGAGCATAAATTAGACCTATTTCCCAGGGCTCCTGCCAAGGTGATAATCCTGCAGTTTAGGGGAGCGACTCCGTGTTGACCAACTCTCCCTTACTTAGTTTTATGTTCCAGCCACCTCTTGATCCACCACCCTAAGATCCCCCTCCCCCAGGCAGGCTCCCGGGGCTGCCGGTGCGTGGCAGCCAGTTCATACAGAGGCCAGGATGTATGCAGTCTGCTCTGTTACCAGCTGAGGCTCTTCCTGGGTCTATGTGGGATTCCACCTGGTGGATGTACCTGGCGGAAGGGAAGAGATGGAGGCAGATTCTGAGGAAGACAAGCATTGTCCCAAAAGTCCTCTGCCTCATCTGAACCCCCAAATATTCCTGAAGTAGGAAGGGGTCCTGTCTTCCAATAGGCAAGGGCATCATCTCTGCAGGTCAAGAGAGTTCAGAGGAGTCTAGGTGGTCAAGGTTCTCAACTGTCTGTACCCCCATAAAGGTGAAGGGTCCTTCTCATTCCCTGTTGGGGCGTGTCTTTGGAGCAGGAGGCTTGGTTAGGCTGAATGCACCTTCTTGGGGACCCCATTACTTTCATAATTCAGTTCTGTTCTGTTCTTCAGTGTGTCCACCCTCTGACCACAAAGCAGCCTCTCCAATGGACACACTCTGCTTTCAATAGAGCCGAGCCTGCCATTTTCTCTCCTCAGCAATGGCGCCCTACAGAATCTACCAAACTCCGAAGTCCTCACAGTTCCTGTTTTGCACGAACCTCTCAACCACTAGTCCACCAGAGCAAACACACCTTAACAGCTGCATTTGCTCTACATTCTAGGATCTGTCTGACCTGCCAGGGACAGGTTCTTTCTGACATTTGACCAGCAGGGGTCCACCTCCAGTCTCCCTTCATCTGTGGCTGCTTGCAGGGCCACAGCCAATGCCCGCTGATCTGGGTTCCTTAGAAACCCAGCCCAGCACAGGGACCCCCAAGGAGGTGCCTTACGGTGTAGTCCTCTCTAAAAAGGGGGACTGAGGGAAGCAGACCAAGGCAAGGGAAGAAAAAGAAGCAAAGATGTGGTCTCAGGGGAGACTAGTTCAGCCTGGTCCTGTGGGACCTCTGTCTAAAGAATTACTCCAGAGGGATGGTCTCAGGTGGAGACAAATGGAATGGCTTCTTGTCCCTCTGCCCTGCAGTCGGTCTGTCTCTGCCCTGCGGTCGGCCTGAATCTGCAGGAGGACAGGTTGAGAACCTGACGTGGGGCGACTCCCGCTCAGCCAAGGGCAGTTCTCTGAAGAAGGGGCAGGTGTAAGGCGCTGGAGCCAATTCCCACAGTAGCCGCGATGACTGCAGTGCCCTGCTACAGGGGCACTGAAGAGGGGGTACCAACAGCGCCCACTTCCACAGCACCCTCCAAAAATCCACCTTAGAAAAGACAGAGCTTTTAGATAGCTCACGAGAGGCAGCTCTCATATACAAATTGAACTTGACACAAGATTCCAACATCAAACACATTTCAAAGGAGCTGTGAATAAATTAACTGCTTGCGTGTGTCAGGTTACAGCCCTGACTAATCTTCATAAGAATCAGAATATGTCTTACATCCCTTTGTATCTCCCTCTTCTTCTAGTGTCCCCATTACATGTGTCTTGGTGTCCTTAATGCAGTCTCATATTTCTGTGGGGCTCTGTTCATTTTTCTTTTTCTTTTTTTTTCTATTTATTTTGTTCTTTGGATTGCAAGTTCCTACTGATCTATCTTTAAGTCCAGTAATTCATTCCTCTGTCAGTTAAATATCTATTGTTGAGCTCCTCTACTGAATTTTTCATTTAACTTTTTTCATATACTTTTTGACTCTAGAGTTTCCATTTTGGTCCTTTTTATAATTTTGATCTCTTTTGATATTCTCTATGTGGAGAAACATTGTCATCATACCTCTTTTCTTTTAGCCTGTTGCCTTTAGCACTTCAAACATATTTATAATGGCTACTTTGAAGTCTATGACTTTTTATAAAAAATTGGCTTTTGAACTTTTTCTTCTTTTTATTGAATTTATTGGGGTGACACCGGTTAACAAAGTTATACATGTTTCAGATGCACTAGTCTATGACTCTAAATGTGACATCTGGTCCTTCTCATTAGCAGTTTCTGTTGTGTGCTGGGTCATGCCTTCTTGTTTCTTTGTGGGTCTTGTCATTTTTCACTGCAAACTGACAGAAGAATGAATTGGTCACTCAACAATCCTATCATCTCTGGAAAACTGTCTTTCAAAGAATGACCACACAAGACTCTACAGGTAAACTAAAACACAGAACTGGCTGCTAGCGGAAGCAACTTACAAGAAATACCAAAGGAAGTTCTTCCAACTGAACACAATTCGATTCCACACACATAAAAATAAAGCACTGGCAAAGGAAATTCTGTAATTATAAAAGATGGTATACATGCATATTTCTTCTCTTGCCTTCTTTTCACAGACTTAAAAAGCATCTGCATAAAACAATAAATATATAATTGCATTAAGACGATAACACATAAAGATGTAACAGAGAAAAAGAGGTAGGTAGGAACGAAGCTGCTTTAGAGTAAAAAAATTATGCCAGACCTGGCCAGTTTTGTTCAGTGGTTAGAGCGTCGGCCCGCAGACAGGAGAGTCCCAGGCTCAGTTCCCGCTAAGGGCACGTGTCTCGGTTGCAGTTTTTCCTGGACCCCAGCTGGGGTCATGCAGGTGGCAACCAGTCGATGTGTCTCTCTCATGTCGATGTCTCTCTCTCTCTCTCTCTTCCTCCTTCTCTCCCTCCTGCTCTATCTGAAGATAGATGCAAAAATGTCCTTGGGTGAGGATAAAAAAAAAGAAAATCATACCAAACTGCAACTTGAATTTTAGAAATAAATAAGAGGAACAGAAAAGGTAAATAAGTTTAATATAACAAGTAGTATAAAAAAAATATATTTGCTCTCCATTCTTCTCTCAGCCTCTTTCAAAATTATAGAGTGTAGTAAGTATTACTGAGTTTGTAGCTACATAAATGTAATATGTATAATGATAGCAGAAAAGTGAGGAGGGCTCAGAGCTATATGGGACCAATGTTCTATATCTGGCATCATTAGTATAACTCTGAAGTCAATCCTAAATAAAGATGTATATAATAAGTCCTAGAGCATGCACTAAAAAACAAACAAACAAAAAACACAAACTTTAGAAAAGTGAAAAAATCAGTGAAGCATTTAAAATGTTATACTAGAAAATACTTAATTGAAAAGTAATATAACTATTAGTAATATGTTAAATGATATAATGGAAATGGTAGACAACATGCATAAACAAGAAAGGAATTTCAGTAAAGAGGTAAAAACTATAAGACAGATTCAAATTAAAATATTACAAATAGAAAAATATTGTATGAGAGACAAAGACTTCCTCTCTTGATCTCTTCAATAGACTCAACACAGCCGAAGGAAGAATTGACAAACTTGAAAATTGGCCATAGTATATGCACAGTTCATGTTTAACAATTTTGCTATAATCTAATTATTTGGGCCATAATATTTTATACTCCTTTTAGAAATGGACAAAAGCTTATGTTCTCCAGCATTCATATCTACCCTTAGTCTTCCCAGAAATTTATTTCTCTCCCTTCTGATGAATGTGATATTGTTGATGGCTAAGTAATCTTTGGCAAGTTACTTAAACTCTTTGAGCCTTTATTTTCTTATCTGTTAAATGGACAATACTACTTACTTCACAGGTTATTGTCATGATTGAATAAAAAAAGAGATAAATTATAAGATACTTAATATACTGTCAATATATATATGCTCCCAAAGCATTTAACAAAGTTTCTTATATGTAGTAGATAGGTATTCAATACATAAAAACTAATCAAATGATATAAAAGTTATAGTCAGTCTACTGAAAATATGTGCTCATGTTTATGGAACAAAATAACTGAGAAGTTAAAATCAAACTATAGAGTCAAAGGAACCTGCATCAAAGTGTATTTCTGGTCAGTTTTGAGAATTATTATCAATATTAATAAAACATTGGGTCATTTTAATTAGTCACAAAGAAAATAAATAAATGTGGTGGTATACAGAAGGCATAGAGGTTTTAATTATATACCACTCCCTTTTTATTTCTTATCTTCTAATAAAAAACATTAATATAAGACAAAATTTAACATTTTAATTTTCATGATATACACCTATATTTATGCCTCATAAAGTAGAGATATAGAGAAATACCTTTGGAAATAAAACAGAAAAAGTAAATGTCTTGTCAGAGATATGTACCAGATAACATCCGGGAAAGCATTTTACTTTTACCAAGTAATTTTTACCGAGAGACACTATAAAAAACTTTCCTGTTTAGAAGTAGTATTCTCTCTCATTTTGTTGTTGTTATTATTATGATCATATAACTAAGAATACAAAGTGTGAGTTAACAGAGGCCAATATTTAAATTAAGGACAAATTTCAACACATTCAATATAACATACCTCAAATTACACATAAGACTTATTTTGTAGTATGCTAATTACATGTAAATAAGAAATGCAAATAAAAGCCTATAATTCGTGTTTGTTTTTAAATATCTGATTATGTCTGTGCTCTGTTGTGAGGAGTAGAGAAAAAAATAATAGCATAAGAAATTATTGAGGCATCATGGTGTGTACATTGAAGAGGGTGTGTGTTTGAGGATTTCCTTTCATGTTTGTACAGGAGACACCTGCAGCTGGGGAAATGTGAGCCCCCAGTGCACAGACAGCACCCAGTGTGACCACGAAGTGAGCATTCTGGTTGAGGGTAAGCTTGGATTGCAGGGCAGGGCCAGAGTGATGGTGTTATCCACTAAATGTCTGTGTCCCTTTAAAATCCATAGGTCGAAGCCATGAACTCTGGTGCAGCTGTATTTGGAGATGGAACCTCCAAGAAGATAACTAAGGTTAAATGAGGTCATAAGGGTGGGGCCCTGATTGGATAGGATTAGTGTCCCTATAAGAAGAGACACCAGAGTTGACTTTCTCTCTCTCCCAATATGCATATATCAAGGAAAGTCCAAGTGAGAACATAGAGAGAAGGTGGCTACCTACAAGCTACAAAGAGAGCCATCACGAGAAACTGCAGGGGCCAGAACCTTGACCTTGAATTTCCCAGGTTTCAGAACCATGATCAATAAATTTCTGTTGTGTGATCCATCCAGTCCATGGGGTTTGGTTACGGCAGCCCAAGCAGGCTAATACAGACAGTAACCATCCTTCGCTGAGAATCAAAGACCAAATAGAAAAACCTGAGCTTTGACACAGGCGATGTTTGCTGTCCCATTAGCAGTGCCTTGGCCCCAATCCTCCTCCTTCTGGCACATTCTAAACCAGCTGGAGGAATTTCTTCCTCTCCTTAGATCCATCTGAGAAAACATGCCCAGGGCGTTCAGAGAGGTGGTTTGCAATGTTGCATCACTGGAGGCACAGGAGAGGAACGGAAATGTTGATGAAGGAGAGGAACGGAAATGTTGATGAAGGAGGAGAGGAGGCTGGAACATGTTGGCAGTGGGGGGTCAGATTCTTGACTCACGGTGAGATGAGCGGAAGGGAAGGGAAAAGGAGAGAGAGAGAACATGAAAATTGGAGAGCAAAGGGAGGGAAGAAGAAAAACAGGAAAGTTGGTGAGAGAACACAGGGCAGGAGAAGAAGAAGAAGCCTGGATGACCACATGTTGAAGAGCCAGAGGAACTAAATAGGAGGACAGTGAGCCCTCTCCTTTTGTGTCTGTCCCCATACAAGCCACAAGAAGGAAAGGTTTCAGCAATATCCCGACGTTTAGCAAAAGGAACCCCCCCCCCCCGCTTCTTACTCCCAAACAGTTTCATCTTCTTTATAGCACCAAGCTTTTCAGAATGAGAAGCTTTCTAATCTCTCTATCACTGCTCTGGATGGGTTCTGTGGCAACATGTATACAACGCTACATTTACTTTGCAGTAGCAATGGGGCCAGGATTAGAAAATACACAGCCAGAGAAAGAGAGAACCATGGGGTATTCAAAATGCAGATGGCCATCTTGTGGAGAAATTGCATAAAAATGTAGGACAAGACCCAGCAACCGATGATGAAGAAACAAAGCGAGGGTCTCTTCCTTTGGACTCTGATTGTGCCCCCTCTCACCTCACCACCCTCCCCACTTCCTACCTCCCCCAGGAAATCCACTTTCAGAAACAAATTATAAGCAAATTAATTGGGCTAATAGAACTCGACACAGAAGTACACATTTGCTTTCTCTAGTTGTTCCTACACCACAAAGGGTTCATCTGTGGAAAAAAAAGGAGAAACTGAGACTGAGATTCTATGGGCAGAGCACAGGTTTTATTACCTGCCTCGTCTGCTTCCGTGGCATGAGCGGTTGTGGTACCCACTGTTTGTTTGATTTTTGTAATGATGATAACGGTGATGGAGTACTGAGAATCGCCTAAGTTAACCAAATAACCCACAGGAGGAATCATACACCTGAAAATGGCCAAGAGAAGAGTTAATCCTTGAAAAGTTGACAGCAGCGTTTCACACTATCCCGAAGGGCCTCTTTGACCTTGTCATTTCGGAGGGTGAAGATGAATGGGTTCAGAAAAGGGGTCACCACAGAAATCAGCAGGGAGCCAATCTTATTGTACTGGGCTGCCTGCGTTTGACTGGGTTTCACGTAGAGGAACAAGCAGGTGCCGTAGCCGATCACGACAAAGGTGAAGTGGGAGGCGCAGGTGGAGAAGGCTTTCCTCCGGCCGGAGGCTGAGGGGATCTTGAGGATGGTGGAGATGATGTAGGTGTAGGAGACCGCTGTGGGTGCCAGAGAACCAACGATAATAAAAATGGCCATCAAAAACAGAACAAACTCGGTGAGAAGAGTATCCTCGCAGGATAGTGTGAGCAGTTGCCCTCGGTCACAGTAGAAATGGTCTAGCACGTTGGATTTGCAGAAGGGAAGCTGAAACGTGGCATAGACGGGCCAGATCTCAGAAAGGAACCCAAACAGCCACGACACAGTTACCACCCAGATGCAGGTGTGGCTGCTCATAATGCTGCTGTACCTCAGAGGGTTACAGACGGCCACGTAACGGTCCACAGCCATCGCCCCCAGTAATGCAAACTCTGTGGTCCCCAAAGCAAGGTACAGGAAGAGCTGGGCGACACACCCAGCCAGAGATATTGTCTGCATCCCAGGGAGCAGCAACCCCCAAAGCATGACGGGGATGATGATAGAGGTGATCAGGATCTCCAAGGCAGAGAGGTGACCCAGGAAGAAGTACATGGGGGACTGCAGACGTTTATCCACACAGACGATCATGATGATGACCGTGTTTCCTATTACTGTCACTGAGTAGAAGAGGAAGAAGGTAGTAAAGAGGAGATGGTGTAGTTCCTTGGAGCCAGGGAAGCCGAGAAGACAAAATTCAGTGGCACTGGAGTGGTTGCTCATCACAGAGTCCTTGTCCCCGATCTTTGTAAAACACAGATATCAAAAGAGAGGTAACACTGCTCCACATGGTCAGGGTATTGCTGAAACTTTTCCTCTTTGTGGCTCGTATGGGGACAGACACAAAGGAGAGGGGGAGGACCGATTAGTATGAGGAACTCTTTTCTCCTGAGGACAAGGTGAACCTTCCCTACTACTCCGCCCTGCACAAAGACAGACCTAAATATTGTCTCTGAATCCAGCTCAAAGTTCGCTGTGTCGGATGGCTGAGGACAGCTTCTATTCTATTGATGTGAAGAAAACCTTCCTTGTCTTTTTCCCCCACTGGATGTGCCTTCCCACAGGGGACAAAGGCTACGACATTTTAAACTGCTTAGTTTTAAGCTGAATCAGTCAGCCCCGAAGGATGCTGAGGTTGCCCTTTTTCCTCTTAGGTTCACTGTTTATATCAGATGATATAATAGCATTCCAGGTGAGGTTCAAGGCACGGAACTCCGAACCCCAGACTGGCGCTACACAGACCCACCTTGGGGCCCGCAGCAAAGAGACAGGGGGTCCCAGAAAACACCTCTGCTCTCCCCCAGATCGTATAACCTTTCCATTACAGCACAGCAAGATCTCCAAATGGAAACCCTGGAGCTTGGGAGAATGTCCCAGAGCTGAGTCCTCCTGTACTCATTCCATTTTCTCTCCAGAGTCTTGGGAGAAGGGAAAGGTGGCAGGTGGCGCTGACTGAAATAGATCTCTGCCCCTCACTTCATCCGTCTGTTACTCCGCGTCACCTCCTCAGAGGACGCTGTCCAAGTCCTGACCCGAAATAGGAGGGACGCGATCCACCTTGGACTCCGGTTTTCTTCATAGCACTTTCCCCTGATACCATGTGATATGTTTCATTATTTCATTCCTTCATTTCACAGGACATAAATGCAGCAGACCCCGGCCCAGTGGAGCTTATATCCATGTTGCGGGTAAAGCGATAAAATTATATGTAAGTAACAATTATGTAAAAGATGTTAGTTTATTCATCATGCCATAGAAAAAGTAATACAAGGAAGAAAGAAGGATGGGAGATTTATTTGTATTTATTCATTCTTCATCTATGATATTAAAATAATAACTCCATGAGGGCAAAGACATGTCATACATATAGACTATATGTCTATGTGATAGATAGAAAATATTCTTGAGCCAGATAAGTAGTGCTAAAACTTTTTGTAGATGGTTTGTATGCAGACATATGATGTATGAGTAAATAGGTCTTATTCTGGCCAAGGCTAACTAGGCCATGTCCCCTTCATCTCCCTCTCCTTGGCCTCCCTCCGGCCTCACATGCCATCTTCCCTTCCTCTCTCCTTCCTGGTGCAGCCTCCCCGGTATCCCTGTGGCTTCTTTACTGATGGGCAAACATGCCTCAGGACAGAACTGTTGGAAGAGCTCAGCGGCCCTTTTCCACGAACTCTGCACAACCAGCACGAGATGAGGACAGATGAGGGAGAAGGACCCTGACGGGCGTCAGGGAGCTGTGTCCATCCCTGGCTTTGGGTCCGGGGGGAACTGGTCTGCTGTCCGCTGCGCACAGCGGACTTGGAAATGAATGCATCTGCCTTGCTGCTCCCCTGGCCTGCTCTTCAGACTCTGGGTGTCCCCGTGTTAGACAGCAGCCAGACCCCGAACACCCCACCTCACTCGTTCCCCCACAGAGGAGAGACCTGGAGACACTCACCTCTGGGGAAGGTTTCACCACCACTTCTCATTCTTGCCAGGGCTTGGACCAGGTGAGCCAGGTGAGCTCCCCCCTGGCTACTGCTGAGCCAGGCACAGGGGCTACAGCAACTTTCTGCTGTCTCCACTCAGGATGAAAAAGGAAACTGTCCTCAGGGAGGGGCTTAGGAAAAAGCCCCAAAATAAGTGTTGTGGGGAGCTGAGGGGGTCTCTCTCTCTCCCCTTCCCTCCCACTACCTTCTTTCCCAAGGGGACTTATTCACTGAGATACCTGTTCTTAATTGGCCCAGGTTCATGGTGTCCCTGGAGAGAACAGAACACACTTACTTATGCCCATTTTGACCAATTAAGTTTCAGAACTTTTTAAAGTTTTTGTGTAATGGGAAAACATGAAATCTCACCAATCAGTCTCCTCAATACCAAGGCTGCCTTCTCCAAAGCCCCAAGTCTTGGTTTCCAGAAGATGTCTCAAAGTGTCGAAGCAGATCACCCCTTCTGCCCTTTATCCAAGGCTCTCCCTGGGTTCTCCTAGCTACTCGGGGCCAAAATCCGCCCCCACTTCCCAATGGGAGACACCACAACTAACCTCTGAAACATACACCGATATCCAAAAAGCCTGCCTATTGGTCTCGGTCAAAGCCTTGACTTCATCAAAGATCCCCAGCAAAGCCTGATTTCTCTTAACTCATTTTACAGAGACTCCTGTTTCTAACCCTGTGTGCCCTCCAGGACACTGTGGGGTCTACCCCACATTCAGCTCCACCCTCCGGTATTGTCTCAGGTGTCCACTCTTCCAGACATGCGCCCTAGCGAGATCCTTCCTGCCATGTATTTCTATAGCGTGTTCCTGACTACCGCCAGCCGGGCACTTCCATGCACAAGGACAGCCCAGCGAGGCAGCTCTGTTTACAACCGGGCGCAATGGACAGAAAGCGGAGTGGAGATCTGGGTGGCACTGGAGGGAAACAGAAAAACAGGAGAGTCACAGAACAGGTATCATTTCACGTATGCCTGTTAAATCTGAGGATATCGACTGGTGCAGAAGGGTGTAAATTAGGAATAATCTTCCTTCCGATTTCTCAGATTACCCGAATCCATCCAGATTGCCACATAACCTTAGAGGAATGTCTTAAGCCTTCGTCTGCATATTATTTTCGAGAAAATGCTGAGAAAGTTTGTTTTATGCACTTTTCTCTCTCACTTAACAATTTTAAAAGATCACTTAACAATTATAAAAGATGTTCCTGTATCAATACATATGACCTCACTTCTACTGTTTTTTTTCTTGCATAATATTCAATTAAATGGGTGTCCCATTCTTTATTAGTTAGCTCTCTATTGATCAATTTTTGTTGTTTTCAATTTGATTTTGAAAAATGATGCTGCCCTGGACAGTGTGTTCAGTGGTTAGAGCGTCAGCCCTTGGATTGAAGGGTCACGGGTTTGATTCCTGGTCAAGGACACATACCTGGGTTGCAGGGTCACTCCCCAGCCCTGGTCAGGGCACACGTGGAAGGCAACCAATCGAAGTATCTCTCTTCCATCAATGTTTCTCTCTCTCTTACCCTCCCTCCCTTCTTTCCACTCTCTCCAAAAATCAATGAAAAAATATTCTCAGGTGAGGATTAACCAAACAAAAAAAAAAAAAAAAGAAAGAAAGAAAAGTGATGCTATAATATGCTTAGACATGTATAAGTTCATACACATTTATATTGCTGGAAGAAATACCTAGAGTTTAAATTTCTAGGTCAAAGGGGAGATATATTGTAATCATTGCTTTTTATTGGCATCGTTTTATACTCCAATCACTTTGGATCTATTCATAATTAACTACCAGTTAAGATAGTTTTATTGGTATATTTTGTCAAATATTTAAGTAAAAACTTATACCAACCCTACATAAAATCTTCTATAAAATTGAGGAGAAAGGAACACACACTGACCAATTTACCTCATAAGACCAGAGCAAAGGATATCACAAGAATATGAACATACAAACATATATTCCACATAAACATGGGTGCAAAAATGTTTAATGAAGTATTAAAACTCAAATCCACCAATACGTAAAGAGAATAATATGCTATAGCAAGTGATAATTTTATTCCAGAAATGTAAAGCCAGCTTAATGCTAGGGGATTAATCAGTACAATTCACCATGTTAACAGAGCTAAAGAGAAAAACCACAAGATCACTTCAATAAGAGAAGAAAAAGCATCTGAAAAAAATCAACATCCATTGGTGAAAAACTGATAAAACCAGGAACTAAAGTGATCTTCCTCAAACTGATAAATAGCATCGACCAAACATCGTAGTGCTAACATAAAACCTAATGATGAAAGGCCTGATCTTTCCCTCTAAGATAGAGAATAAGGTAAGAATATCTATCCTCTCCACTTCTAGTCAACATTATACGGGGAATCCTAGCTAATGCAATAAAGAAAGAAAATTAAATTAAAAGTATATAGTCAAGAAATAAAGAAATGAAGTTATTTATTTGGAGATACATAATTCTGTATGTAGAAAATCCTAAGAAGTCCACAAAAAAGCTACTAGAACCAATAAGTGATTATCAAGGTCACTGGATAAAGGCTCAACATACAAAAAGCTATTGTATTGCTATACAGTAGCAAGGAACACTAGAAATAGAAATAAAATATTTAATTTATAATAACACTCACAAACATGAAAAACTAAGTAACATATTTAACAAAGTATGTGCAAGACCTATACAACTAAAACTATAAAACATTGATGAAATAATGTTTTATAACTATAGATGAAAAAATACTCTATTTTCACGAATCAGAAGACACAATTTTGTTAGAACATCAGTTCTCTCCAAACTAGTCAATAGGTTCAATACAAATTCAATCAAAATTCCAGGAAGCTTTTTGTTAACATTCAAAAGCTAACTCTAATATTTCTGTGCACATTTTAAAATTGAATAAAATTAATGAAATAAGATCAGGAAAAAATTGACTTACTGTAAAGATACAGTAATCAAGACAATATGTTATTGACATAATATCATGCAGCTCTATTATAAACCAAGGGAATAGATCATTCAAACACAGATCTAAATATATATCTTCCATTGATTTTAACTACACTAACTGTTGATAAATATGTGAAGCCACTGGAAATCCCACACATGGCTGGTAGGAATGTACAATGGTATGAGCAACAACAGTTAAACATACACTTACTGTACAAGCCTGCAATTCAACGCCACTCTTAGATATTCCAGTAAGATAAATGAAAACACATATCCACATGAA